TGTGGCTGTGTTCAATTAGATTCTGATCATAGTGCATGATACGACTGCGTAACATTGGTTATTTGATGATACCTCACGAGATCTTTTAACAATTTCTCCGTACTCGCGATTTTTTTTTTCGTTTTACTCGTCGTGTCACGATTTTATTCATCTTGCGTATTCGATTTTGAAAGCTTTTCATAACTGGAGTAGTGCTTATTCGTCATTAGCAGACCGATACAAGTAATTGATATTACTTAGTTGAAGTTTACGACGGTAGCCTAAGGATCCAAGTTCTTATTTATAATGTCAGATTACCGACCTACAACATATTTTAACAATAATCAAGCAAATAGTTGGGAAAATCCAAGTATGTCACCAGTTCAAGATTTAGGAAGTTACGATTCCACTGCTTCAACCTCAGTAACAAATACTCGTGTAAATACTTGGGTGGGAATGAATGGTAGTGGTCCTTATCCTCAAGGGTACTTAAATGGTAATAGCTCATCTTTTGAACTCGTAGTATATGTAAAATTATTCTTGGTGTTAATAATGTTTTCGCTATAGGTTCGACGGGCTACGGTGGCTCTCTATCAGAACAACCATCAACAAACCACGTTAGTGCACAACGAGGTGCACCAAATGGAATATCTGTGAATACATCCAATCTTATGTTAAGAAATAATTCATCTATAATGGAGACCGACGCGGGTAAAATTATCTGTGTAGCAGATGTTAGAGGTATTTACTTTATTTTATTTTAATCTGTTTATTCTGTGTTGGTATTAATGATAGTTATTAAAAATTAAACAGGAAATATCTCTCAATTGAATAAACTTGCTGAAGAGACTGGGGCTATGGCTATCATTCACTCCGGTGACTTTGGATTTTATGGTAAATTTAATTAATTTATATTTAATATTTATATTTATTACCTTAATGTTTATTTACTCGAGAAATTTTCTTTTATAGAAAACAGTAGTCTAGAGAGGATAAGTGATAGGTATGATATAATCTGCTGTTTTTATGAGGCTTATAATCGTTCCATCTACTTTAAATTATTCATTCATTCTGATATTAAAATATTTCATTTAGGACGTTACGTCATCTCGTGCAATATAGCACAATTATACCACAAGATTTACGAATTAAGCTTCTCCATTCATCCACATCTCTTCAAGAATTACGTAATACTATACAACATTCTGAACGCCCTCTTCTATCCGAATTTCCTCTCTTTAGAGAAGGAGTAATGCATCTTAAAGTTCCTGTATATACAGTATGGGGTGCTTGCGAGGATGTTGCTGTACTAGAAAAGTTTAGAGAGAAAATATACAAAGTGCATAATTTGCATATTTTAGACGAAGCTAATACCCATCTCATTGAAATTGGTGGCGTTAGTTTACGGTTATTTGGCTTAGGTGGTGCTGTAGTTCAACATAAACTATTTGATAACGGACAAGGTTAGTATTTAGTGCTCGGTAATTATTTCACTTTATTGCTGAAATGTTAAACCTGTATAAATGTGTGCATTACTGGATCAAGCGAAGTGGTTTTACTTTAGGATCCGGACGTACAAAATTCTGACATCAAAATCTCGACATTATCAGAATACTGATATCAATAAACTCGACAACAAAATCGCGGCACTACCAAAATCCCAACAATACTAAATCCTAGGATTTTGGTAGTGCCGCGATTTTATTGTTGGGTTATGAGATTCTGAGGCAAAACGAAAACAAGTCTATACACTTAGACATATATATATATATATATATATATATATATATATATTTATATTTATATATAATATAGGTCAAATTTGTATATGCACATGTACTTTGGTGTTATGCATTTAGAGGTTATACATATACATTATATATATAATATATACTGTACGAATTTTACAGGTTTGACCGTATGTTATTTCTAATACGTTTATATCATAACGGATAATTTTTTATTTCACTAAAAGGCTCAGCTACTATTGCCGGTGGTCATGGCACTATGTGGACAACAATTCTGCAAATTGGTGAATTAGTCGAGACTGCATCAAAAGTAAGTCCTGTGATTTATTTAGATTTATTACTGTCAAAAGACTAACAGCCTTAAAAAAACTTCATATTAGGTATTTGACCAATCTGAAACAAGAGTTCTCGTAACCCACGCTAGTCCTGGTCGTGAAGGTCTTTTAACACAATTATCAGTCATCTTGCGCGTAAGTCATTCATGAATATTATATAAACATTCAAAACATGAGTTATTAATTTAAATTTTTTTTTTTTTTTTTTTTTTGAAGGCCGATTTTACGATCTCAGCAGGGCTTCATTTTCGTTATGGTATTTCATATAATGAATTTTCAGTACAAAGAGATTCAGAAGCTTTCCGTATGAAGTTAGAAACCTCTCGCAGAGGTTTTTATGAGATGTGGGAATCAGTTAAAGCTCAAGTTGAAGGCTATATTGAGTAAGTCATAAATAATATCTGAATTTACAAGTAAAGATGCTGGTCAAATTAAATTATAGTGGTGAAATAGATGTAAATTGATGAAATTAATTCCATAAGCATCTCTAATCACAAGGTTGCTTTGTTAATGCTGATACTATTTCTGATATTTTAGCGAACAGCAAAAAATATTATTACAGAATGCTTTTACTGTTGTTGATCGAGTCCCAGCTCAAGGAAAGGAAGAACCAGCTTTTAGAAATATGTGGAATTTCAATTTGCCCGATGCTGCTTATGGTTGGGTACTATTGGATATTAAAGACGGAAGAATATCCGCTGAAACAAAAGCACAAGGTTTAGTACATTATTATTATTTATTGTTATTTATTTATCTATTTATATTTGTTTATGTATTTGCTTATTGTGGTAGCACGTGTTAAAACTGGCTGATGCTTAAATTTGTGATCCCGATTAAATCTGTAACATCTACATGTACTCTTATTGACAACTCTAACCATAAACCTTAATTTAACCCTAGCAAAATTGTCCAAAAATTTTTTTAAAAATTTCATAATAAAATAGCCAAAATTTCAGCATCAGCCAACTTCAACTTCAGCTACCATCTTTTTTATTATTATGATTTATAATTTTCAATTGCGCTTTTTACTAATATGATATTTATTACGAATAATAAAGGCTTCAATTTCGCTTATCGAAAAAACAATATTCAATCAAATAATTCTGTCATTTGTGGATCACAAACATCTGAAATTGGCGCACCTACAAGTCCATATGGTACGGATAGAAATAGACGTCAACAGTCTAGTTGGCAGCCTTCACCTGCTCTTCCACCTCAACCATCAAATGGTGGTGGTACGATACCATCCCCAATTTTGACGCCACAAAGATCTACATCACCTGAAGCATCACCCAATCTTTCTAGCGATTGGAAAAAACCATTAGCTGATTCAGCAACGCCGAATGAATGGTCGCCATCATCAAAGGGCGCTATTTCTTTAGGTCAAGATCATATGGAACGCCCATCGAATATTCTTGGTAGTGATACTAGTAGCGATGGTGACAATGATATCATCAACTCCACCAATTCAGGACATATTAATGGTAATTCTCAAATGGCATGGGCTGATCGAGCACAAAATGAATCACCTAATTGGAAAAAAAAACCAGAATTGAATGATTCTTCCCAATCACAAGAAAACGGCGATGACACAAACAATGAAGATGATTTGAATAATGATGATAACGATAACAATAACAATACTAATAATCAATCTCAGCAACAGAACCGTAATCAACACAATCGTCGTAATAACGTAGTATATACATTTAATTTAGTTATACGTTATTAAAAAAAAAAAATAATAAGATCCTATACTGATTTAGCTGTTTTTAATTGATTACAGAAAAATTCATTTAAAATTTATGTCGGTAATTTGAACCCACCTGTGTCTGAAGAAGACTTAAAGATTTATTTCGAGTCGGTTGATTGTCAGGTGATTTGCATTATTCACGTCCTACTTGTAATTTTAAAGAGATGAGATCTTAACATTTTTTTTTCATAAACAGGTTGAGAAGGTCCAGTTGATGTTTGATAATAACACAAAAAACCAACTTAATCATGCATATGTGGTTTTCCAGGACGAATCATCAATTGAAAAAGCAGTTTCATTAAATGGAAAGGTAGTTTAGATTATTTTTTTTATTTGTGCCCATTTTTCATATCTAATCTGGTTATCTGATATTAATATATTTTTTAATACTATTGCAATTAAAGCCATTTGGTGAAAATGGTAATTTGTTAAAGATTAATCAATATTTTGAAAATCGATGGTCCCGAGGTCGAGGACGAGGACGCGGACGCGGACGTTACAACCACCGAGGATATCGTGGTGGCCATGGAAATAATTCACACAATAATACTCAGAACGGAAACGGAAATCAATGATTAGCTTAAAACAATTTTTATTTAATATTTTATATATTATACATGTTTTTTTTTTCTTTTTGTATATTGATTGATTATTAAGTTGTTATATATTTATATATAATTTATTATACTTTATTATTTTTAACCCCTGTTATTCAGATTTCTATTTCTTTGTATAATGTAGTGTTGATAAATATTGAATTTTGTAGTTTGGCAAGTATTTGATATTTTATATTATATTAGTGATAGTTCTACACTTACAATTTATTATGAATTATGATGGTTTTTATGCGGAACATGTTGATACATTATTTGTATCAATGATACTTTATCAATATATATAATTATGTATATATCTAGATACTATCAACCCAAGTTTCTTTGAGAAGGACACAAAATGTATAACCTTTAAGGAGAGTGCATGTATTTTTTGGTGATATAAAAAAAAAGTTATCTTTTAATCAAGATCAATACCAGATTAAATAATTTATTTTTAAAACCAGAGTTTGCTTTATTTTATCACTATATATAATTTTAAAGTTGTATTGGTACGTAGGCGGAAATATAATTAGTCACATGTGCATAATCTTTATTATATATAGATTTGAACCGGTGCAAGTGCGTGTGTGTAACTAACTATCAATGATGCATATCGATATTTAACGATTATTTAGCGTTAGTGTTGGATATGTAAATATGTTCAATGTAGTACCTATACGTAAGGTGTTGTTTTTGTCCAAGGTGGCCAAGCATATACGTACGTGCATATATTACATATGATGTTGACCAAATTCACACATCTGATATATCATTCAACAACAATAATGAATTATTTATGAATTATAATACGTAGTAATCGGTGACTAATACTTAAAAAAAAAAGGAAAACTGGATACGTTGCTCAACATACTGACACCTATAATGAACTGAACTGATAATTCTTAAAATAGTAGCTTTACAATGTTGTAATAAACAAAAAGTGACTACGTACGTAGAACTATCAATTGTCTTCAAATGACCTTAAAATAGCAGTACAGAAATTGCTGCTTTGTATTGAATGGTGTTTGGTGAATTTCAATGATGCTGTCTATCAATTGGAATTGTTCACCAAATTGTTCACGTAACGATTCAGCATCGTACCGAATCACTTCAAGACCACTACACTTTTCCGGTCCTTGCGGACCAAAGGTAGACATAATCACATGACCACCTGATTTCATGGCGAGGGCTACTTGTTTCACGTAGGCTGCACGTTGTTCAGGGGTAGTCAGAAAATGAAATACTGCCCGGTCATGCCAAACATCATAATAATGTTCTGGTAATTTCACTTGAGTTATGTCAGCTGTAAGCCATTTTACATTTTTTGCTGCTTTACCAAGCCGTTCCTTAGTTCCATTAATCGCAGTTTCTGAGATATCAAGAACGCTAATATTCTGGTATCCCCGTGCTAGCAAGTCATCAACCAAGGTTGATTGGCCACCACCAACATCAATAATGGGTAAGTTTTGACTTTGAATCGCTTTTTCAATGAATCGCAGTGATGTTTCAAGATGTGGGCAATACCAGCTTACATCATTAGGTGCCTTCGTCTTGTACACTGTTTCCCAATGATTCTCAACATTGTTTGTCGATGAGGTGATAGTATTAGTAGTTATATAAAGTGACATAATATCTCTAGAGCAGTGTGTGAAATTCAATGATTTCAATATTCTCTGAGAACACAATTTTAGGTTACACTTATGTAGGAACATAAAAAATTTCAAAATCTATTATATAGATGCTCTTGAGAGAACATAAAATTCGAATTCATACACAGTTCTTGAGTATGAAGAAGTGAAGAAGTTATAAATGTTTAATGTTTGTATACATGTTACATTAAATTTGGATATTACTTTGATGTCATTTGATAAAACAAATCGAATGACATTAAAGTAACATCCAATTTAACCTGTACACAAACATTAAATCATATTCACCGATTTTATTTTTTATAATATTATGTAATTATTTTTGTAATAATAACTTTTTTATATATTGGTCTGTTCTAAATAATTTTACAATCAAAAATGTTGGTTTTAATGAGACGATTCAAATCTAATCACAGTATCTTGAGATCCTGTGATTAGATTTGGATCGCCAAAGTTATTATAATTTTTTAGCAAATAGTGCATCAATTTTTCATATTTTTTTTTATTTTTATTTTTATAATGTCAAATTGTAACTTATATTTTATTGGTTTTTTGCATTACTATTATATATAGTTATATTACATTAGTGTTATTAAATTATTTTTTGTTTTAAACATTCAATATAACATTATATTTATACTTTTATATATATATTTTGTAGTCTTTATTATGTATTATAAAATTGTTACTTAACTACTAATAAGACTGTAATTACTTTGTTGTATTCAAATTTTTTATTACTTTTATCTTAAAATTGATAAAAATTAGTATTGATTTTCCTGTCATGATTTTTCTGATGTCAATAGTAATTAAATAAAAAATTAATTAATATTAAAGTTTAAATTTAAGGTTAAAAATAGTTATAATATAACAAAGTTATATGAAAAAAAATTTTTATTAGTAATATCAAAACTATTTATTAATTTAAATTTTAAAATAATATGATATTAACACAAGTACAAGTTTAGAGGTTTTAAAGTAGAATACTCAAACAAGAGTATTAGATATAACAATTAGTAGGAAACCTTTAAGTAAATTCCTTAAATAGTGTTACAAAGTAGATTTTAGTATAGCATAGTATATTATATTATTAGTAGTTGTTATATATTTATTATTGTATTTTATATTATATTTATTATTAGTTATTAGCATAGTTATATTATAATATATAGTAGTTAGATAATAGGATCTTAATTGGCTATTAGAAGTGTAATACAGACACATGACATTGGGTAACATCTATGATGTCATTATTGTCTTACAAATCCCAAGTATCTCTATACAAGTTTCATATATCCTAGTACAATTTACTGTGTCAAATAATACAGTACAAGAATTCCAAATATCTCTTCCACAATTTTCAAGTATCTCTGCACAATCCCAAGTATCTTAACATAATTCCCAGATGTCTCTACATAATTTCTAATTGTTTTTACACAAACTTAAGTATCTTGACACATGCTTCAAGTATTTCAAGTACAAATGACAAATATATATAAACATTATCCCAACTATCCTTGTACAAACTCCACTTGCTTCTGCACAATCTCCACTACTCCAAGTATAGTATCAAGAGATGTTACTCAAACTTCCACTATCTTCACTAGATAAAAAGATATATAAAGGGTACCTTTTCCTCTTCTCTGCCAATTTCAAGTTTCTATACTTCAACTCAGACATAATGACCTTTTAATTATAAAGTATAATATTCTTCCTCTAGGGTAATTCTTACAAGCAAGATTGTCACTATATATGTTATTAATAAAAAGTTAATCAATATACAGTTATTATCTTGAACCATTTGGCTACTGCTGTATAGTAAAGTAAATTACTACACCTTCATCCTATATATACTTGCAATAATCAATCACTATACTAGATAATCTTGTTACTTGGTTGTATTGTACCAAGAAGGCTGCAACCCTGTAATAATATTCATTACACCTTATTAACAATATCAGTAAATCAGTAAAAATATTTAACTTTGTACTAAACTCACCAAAGCCTTTTGCATCTCATACTTACAGCTAACTTAGTATTACTTTGGTCTAAACTATCACTTGCAGTCAGATCTAATTATTAAATTAATATATTCTTGTAAGATTTATACAACTTTAGTACTCATCTTTCTGACATCTTCTTTATCATCTCCTACTAATTGCAGCTAAAAACTAACAGGACTCCTTAGACTTCCAATTCAAATAACCTAGTATGATATATCTTAGTATTTTTTTTTTTAGTAATTTTAAAAGTCTGGTTGGTTATATGCCTTTCTAGACATCTTATTATCTAATTTATCTATTTATTTTTATTGAAAGTATTTTATAGGCTTTCATCAGTTCAATAGTACTGTCAAAAGTTTGTATTAACTTCTTATTCAGGATTTCCAAGTAAACTTAAGACTTTATAGCTTTTTCATTTTTTGCATCTAATGGTCTTATTATAGGTTTGTACTAAAGTCTTATCTAATATTAGTTAAATATTTCTTTATGTATATAATATTATATTTTATATAAATGCTCTAAGCTTCTATTTAAAATGATATAACTGAAGGTTACAGATTTATCTAATTCAACTAATTAACAAAGTCAATTATTATAATACAAATATAATTTCTAAATTTTATCATCAATGAGATTTGAACTTTAGATTTATTACTTGGAGGTTGACAACTTAACCACTTTACTAAGTTATCATATTCCAAAATGATTTTTAATTAAATAAGTAATAAATAAATATATGCTAAACAATTATTCAATAATAAATTAAAATTAAGTAGTAAAAATAAAAAAAAAAAAAATTAGTAGAAAGAAAAAAGTATAAATAAAGTACTTGGCCTTAGACAAATAAAAAAACTATATTTAATAAACTTAACTCTATTAAATAAATTAAAAATAACAGTAGGTAATACAAGTTAATCAATAATAATAATAAGAATTAAAAAAAATAAGACAATTAAGAATAGCAATCTTAATGCAATAGTTGGGTTATCATCCTCTAAGTAGCAGGTCTAAGGTTCAAATTCCATCTATAATAAAATTTGGAAATTATATCTGTGTTATGATAACTGTCTTCTATTAATTAGTTAACCTTATATGACTATAATCCAGATATATCAAATTAGATTTTATTAATATTGAGAGCTTAAAACATTTATGCAAAGTATAATGTTATACATACATAGAAGAATGTATAACCAGTATTGTATAAGACATCATAATAAGACTACTAGATATAGAAAACTAAGAAACTAAGATGACAAAAACCTATTTAGAAATTTCTGAATAAAAAGATAACATGAACTTTTAATAATAATATCAGACTAGCTAAAGTTTACAAAACATCTTTATAAGAACTAAAGATTAAAACTAAATGACAAATATATATAGAGGAACACATAACCAACCAGTTTACTAGACTTATCAGAAAAAAAAATACAAAATTATATCATATTGGATTATTTGGATTAGTAATCTGAAATGAGACTGACAATTCTGAATTATAACTAGTAGAGGATAATAATAAAGATATCAAAAAAATAGATACTAGGATTCTAGTAAACTTTATAAAAATAAAAATAATGTAATATAATGGTTAAACAGATAATTCTTGTGATTACAAGTGTTAAATAACTATAGTATATTGCATAATACTAAATTAGTATATGTAAAACATAAAGACTCTAATAAATTTCTTGTTAATAATAAAGTAGTTCTAAGGATACCAACCAACATCAGAAACTTGAATGAATATAATCTTGAAAATGTTCTTGTTATACAAAAAAAAATTACATATATAAAAGGTTTAAATAGACAAAACTTCTAGTTAACTTACAGATATAGCATCTAGTATAAAACTTATATAGTAATGTATAAACAAACCACTTAAATTAGGCACCAAAAATACATATGTGGCTAGTTGTAACCTTCAATGTAAGATAGCTTCTAGTGGCATGCCATGTCCTATATACTTGAATAAAAATGTCACATCCTGAAAATAGGAACTTTAACATTAAAAAAAAAATAAATAAAACAGTTAGTAGTTAGGCAAAGAGATTTAATACCAAGCAAATAAACATTTACATACTTCAATGTTCTTGTAAGCAATTTTGCTCTTATACTAAACTTGATCTTTACAAAATCCATAAAATATTTAAAAACGCATAACATAGTATTTAACCAAATAAATTAAATAATGAATATATTGTACCTAATAGACCATTTAATAAGAAGATCACACAACTAAACTTTTATGTCAAGGTCTCTCATGTACTGCGGCTGTGGCATGGACCACCTGATCCAGACTTTTGGGAATCGCCCTGCAAACTCTGACCAGGATGGCCATCGAAATTGTGGGTGGCACCACCAATGTTCAATATGCACAATATACAATACAGGGTACATAGCGATAGCACTATTAATCCCTCATTTACAACCATTGTTGCAGTTGGCACTACCCATATGACCCCTAAAACCGGTGGCCACCCTGGTCATGTCATGGGTTAAATGCGTTGTCATTATAGATCATAATTGTCCGAAGAACACTACAGGCAGAACATGATGCCCGTGTGTTAACAAATTTAAATTTTGATTGGCTAGACAAGTGTAACGTAAAAAATCAAAACAATCAATGACCAATGTTTATTGGCTAGATCAGGTGTAACATAAAACAAAAATCCTTCGGACTTTGAATGGTTGGAGGATTATGACAGCTCTCGAATGGATTTGCTCATACTTCATTTTTTAATCTGCAAAAATAATCTCCATGATCGAATTACTGATTAAAGTTCTACAAGGCTTGCAATTTATCACAATTACAGGGGTGGGAGCAGGACATCGGTGAGTAAGCTCCAAGGTCTTCGCTCCAGCCCAAATAACGAATCAGTATGGTACGGATTTTAAAATACATCCCATATGATACGATAAAATTCTGGTCATTATACTAATCTTCAGTAATCCCCAATGTTTATCGAAATTCAAAGTTCTTCAAACTAATTCACCTAATCATTTAATAAAAATTCGTCGAGATTTGTCAAATTGGTTGAAAAAATTTTCCGACAGTGTCATGAGTCGCTACACTATTTCTACTAAGCAGAGCCTAGCCATCTACAGCATCAAAAAATAACGTCAGTAACATCACGATAGTCGCATAATTAAATCTCAAAGCAACCAATGTTTGATGCCTTAAACTAATATGTACTAACTCAAATTTTGCTATATATATATTATATATAAAATAAATACATATTATGTTAAACACCTTGAATGTATTTTATACTCATTCTCATGATAGTGAAGTGATTTGTTCCACTAATAAAAATTTAAAAAATTCACCATATCGAGAGTTTTATTAGTAAACTATACCAAGAGAAATTTATATAGACTGCCCTTGAGCTTAACTTCGCTATATCGAGATTTTAATTAGTCTTTACTATATATAACGAGAGCAAATTGTATCAAATTTACGACTTTCTATCAGCACTATTTTAAAACTATCTCGTCCAGTTAAGTTTCGAGTTTGTTACACGACCTACAGCCTGTGTTTTTTTTAAACTCCTGAGGTCAAACCATCACGGGGACGACATACATCGCTCAGCCAGTGTTTAGAATTTAATATGTAGTAATATGTAGAAAGCTTGTAATTCTTGTAAGCATAAAAAAAATATGCATAACCGCAGATATTGAAAATTTTTGCAGAACAGATCTTGCAGATTTTGCATATAGATTTTTAAACAGCATTCTGATATATTAGATTCCAAGCCCCTTATTTTTCACTCCAATTGTGTTTAATCTACGGTGTTTTTTTTTTTGGAATAGGTGATTGATTTAAAAGTTTATACAACTGCTAAATTAATAATACATACACAAATAACACAAATAACGATAGTCACTTGAAATAAATAATGAATTTTTGTCATACGTAGAATAGGTTATGAACCAGAGATGTTACCTAAACTATTTGGGACGTCCTAAACTATGTGATGAATATTATCGCATGAACCTTATTGTTATTGCTGAAATCGTGTGACGTTATTCATCACATAGTTTGGCTAATTATGAGCCATCGGCCAATAAGTACAAGTTATTAGGCATGCATTCATGTGCGGTTACATCTTCAAATAAAGAGGATTAAAAATGTTTGAAAGAAATTTTAATTCGTGCATAAAATCATTGGGATATAAATATTTTTAACTAAATATTTAGACAGATTATCATCGTGATTCGTCCAGTGTGTACGTACCTATGTACTCACAAACAATAAATTTCACATAAGAGTATCGAAGTATGAATTTGTGTAAAGTCAATAGGATCACAAATAATTGATAGATTATTAATTAGGTCAACAAACATTCTCAGGGTTCAACTTAAGATCCTTAATTCGACTTGTTTTTTTTTTAATAGAATTGTGGTACCCTATGAAATATACAAGAATGTGGAAGAAAAAAAAAACTTAATCCTTAAAATATTTGGGATAACGATAATAAATTTGTTTGTTACATTTTATTTTTAGCATGTTCTTAAAATGTAAATTTTTAGGATTACACGGGGACTAATCTAACTTAATAAGGTCTTTAGAAAGCAGCAAGATTAACCAATGTGTCTAACCTAATGAGTTTACTACAATCCTAAGTTATTGTTATTAGTAAACTTACGTACGTAGGTACAATATCAATTATGGAATGTCTTGTTTTTCGAAATATGGAAATCGATCCACAAAAACTATATAATTTACTATATACACGTATTAACGTAATAGCATCAATGAACCCTAAAACATGTAAATTAATCACAAAATTCTGAAAAATGCATTGTTATAAATAGCATCATTATTCTGCAGTTTGATTTTTTTTTCCTTAAGGAACGTTCAAATTAAAAAAAAAAACTACCTTTTTTTTTTTGCTAACGAGTCTTGATCATATAATTGAATATTAACGATAATGTCTACTGATCATCTTAAAGTAGAAGTCAAGCTTCATCCTGTTCCTAAATGTCTTTTGGATTCATCAATCAATCCTACCCCTCATGTTAGCTCTTTTGAACAATATAAAAAACTTCATGAAGAGAGTATTAATAATCCTACTAAATTTTGGGGAGAAGTAAGTAATTTTGTTGTTTTTTTAAACTTTAATTGGTTTGCGCTTTAAGATGAAACAATTGAAAATGATATACATAGAAATTTTATTTAATGATATTTAAATTCATTATGTTTATATTATTTCGCGATTAATAGCTCGCCAATGAACTTCTTACCTGGAATACTCCTTTCCAAACCGTTCAATCAGGATGTTTCGAACATGGTGATGTCGCGTGGTTCCGTGAAGGTCAATTAAATGCTTCTTATAATTGTGTAGATAGACATGCCCTTAAAAATCCCGATAAGGTATTATTTCTTTCTTTTATCATTATAATTTTAGTTTATTATTGACATTAACTTTTTTTTAACTTTTTTTGATAGGTTGCTATCATTTATGAATCTGATGAACCTAATCAGGATCGCAAAATCACGTACGGTGAACTTTTACGAGATGTTTGTCGCTTCGCTAATGTGTTGAAAGCTCACGGTGTGAAAAAAGGTGATACTGTCGCTATCTATATGCCAATGGTACCCGAAGCTGTGGTCGCTTTCTTGGCATGCGCTCGTATCGGAGCTGTACATTCTGTAGTCTTTGCCGGTTTCTCTTCAGATTCGTTACGTGGTCGTATTCTAGACGCTTCTAGTAGATTCGTTATAACTGCTGATGAGGGTCGTCGTGGTGGTAGAACTATTTATACTAAAAAAATTGTTGATGAAGCCTTGTTAGGGTGTCCTGAAGTCGAACGAGTTTTTGTATTCCGTCGTACCGGTTCACCAGTTCCATTCTCCTCCCCTCGTGATGTATGGTGGCACGAAGAAGTTGAAAAACAACGTCCTCATTGCCCACCTGAAATTGTCAACGCCGAAGATCCTCTTTTCATACTTTATACTTCTGGTTCTACTGGTAAACCAAAGGGTCTCCTTCACACTACAGGTGGTTACTTATTAGGCGCTGCTTTTACTCTCAAATACGTTTTTGATTATCATGAAGGTGATGTTTACGGTTGTATGGCTGATATCGGTTGGATTACCGGTCATACTTATATCATTTACGGTCCGTTGGCAAATGGTGGTACTACTGTATTATTTGAATCGACTCCTGTATATCCTAGTCCAAGTCGATATTGGGAAGTTGTTGCTAAGCATAAAATTACTCAATTTTATACCGCTCCAACCGCTATTCGTTTATTACGTAAATTTGGTCGTGAACACGTAGATAAACATGATCTTTCAAGTTTACGAGTAATCGGTTCAGTCGGTGAACCCATTAATCCTGAGGCTTGGGAATGGTATAATGAAGTTGTCGGTAGAAATGTTTGTTCAGTAGTTGATACTTACTGGCAAACCGAAACTGGCTCCATAATAGTAACTCCATTACCCTGCGCCACAACAACAAAACCTGGTTCTGCTACTTTTCCTTTCTTCGGTATTGATCTTGCCGTGCTAAATCCTGAAACTGGTGAAGAGATAACATCAACAGAAGCAGAAGGTGTTTTGGCCATACGTCGACCTTGGCCATCAATGGCACGCACTGTTTACAATGATCATAATCGATATCTTGATACTTATATGAGACCCTATAAAGGTTATTACTTTACAGGAGACGGTGTTGGTCGAGATTGTGATGGTTATTATTGGATTCGTGGACGTGTGGATGATGTTATTAATGTTGCGGGCCACAGATTATCGACTGCAGAGATTGAATCTGCTTTAATCATGCACTCTTCGGTTGCTGAAGCTGCCGCTATTGGTGTAAAGGACGATATAAAGGGTCAATGTGTGCATGCTTTTACCACTTTGAAACCAGATAGTGGAAATACTGATGTAAAAGATTTGGTCGCGCAAGTACGTCAATCTATTGGTCCGTTTGCTGCTCCACAAAAAATTTATATTGTTAGCGATTTGCCAAAGACTAGAAGTGGAAAGATTATGAGACGTGTTTTAAGAAAAATCGTTGATGGAGAATCAGAGCAATTAGGTGATTTAACTACTTTATCTGACCCTAAGATAGTTGATACTTTGATTGAAGTAGTTAAGAATACATAGATTTTTTTGAATATACATTCGATCTTTTATAGTCATATACATATATTTATTATACATTCACCTAGCCTTTTCATTTCATCATTATATTTCTTTGTCAGTTATTAAATATGTAGATCTTCATATATATTATGCACTTGCATAAATAAATTTGTGCTGTAACACGATTTTCGTATAACGATAAGTTTATCAAGCAAACAAACATAAAATTATGTTACGCGACTCTAAGTTAATGTGCTTTGACTATCTGTTTCACCATCACTATAAATACCATACATATCAGTTTGTATATGATATATATATCACCATTGATTTTTACCATTATTGAAGAACAAGGTTGAGTGTTCACACATAAATACAAGTTATACAAGAAATAATTTGTATACACCTATTCTTAAATTTTTTAAAGTTAATTACGCTTAACCGCTATAGTCACTTGGTTTTTATACGTAGGGTTTACACAAACCTTGGTTTCTACTTCAAAATATATTCAGTAGGATAGATTAGCAGCGCAACCAAATTATGGGTCGGAATGGGCCGGCGTTGATTAATTTTGCCAAAATTTTACTAATGAGACCATAGTTCAGATGATAACATACTTAGTTGTTGTTATTTTTTAATGCCAGCCTAAATCCGACCCATACTCATAATTCGGGCCGATCTGCTGAATTTTGGTTGCGTCACTAATCTATCCGTTTCAGTATTTAACAAGTATATATCAACTTTACAACTTAGTTAATTTACTTTTGGTTCTAATTTTTTTTTGTTTTTTTTTATAGCTAGTCAGTAGTTAATATTATTAAAAGTAAAGGTTTGCAAATATTTATAACTAATATATTGGTATTAGGTTAAAATATATATGTTGTGCCTCAAATTAATGTGCGCGTCAGTTAACAGTTGAGGCACCTCAGGTGTCGATCTTCAGGTGAGGTGCCTCAGATAATAAATTGACAGTTGAGGTGCCTCAACTGTCAACTGACGTGTGCATTAATCTGAGTAGAGATGCCAATCAGCACATTCGGCTCTGTTATTAATCAGTTTTTATTATACAAGCCGAATGAGTAGATTTTCATTTCTAAAATCTAAGAAATAACATGGCTAAAAAAGTTTGGTGTGCGTAGTTCTCACATGATCACGACCATGTATTGAGATATTAATAATATCAGAAACGAAAGTTTAATTTGATTATTAATCAGACAACATGTAATTGATGCATAAAAAATGATGTAAAATAAATGCGAAAATAAATGCGAAAACAAAATAATAAAAAAATTGATGCATAAAAAATGATGTAAAATCAAAGCGAAAATAAAATAATAAAAAAATTGATGCATAAAAAATGATGTAATAGTCAAAGCAAATATGTAAAATAAAGCGAAAATAAAATAATAAAAAATTGGCGTTTTCACCTTTGAAATATCAAAAATTAACTTTACTGATTTATTAGTACGCGGCCTTACCAGTATTATCTCACGACAATATTTTCTTGTTTGAAACTAGGACTTACTGTTATTATCATGGAATTCTCTTTTATTAGCCGAGAAAAGTTTAATGAAATTGTTACTCAATATGTAACTAGTTTACCCGAATTTAAGTGAAGCAAAGCATTAGTAAATCGAGAGTTTTTAAATAAAATAAAAGTAATTCTACAAAACTCCACCAATGTCAATATAAGTGATAAGAATACTTGGAATTGGGCAAAAAAAAGATTTCGTCTTGAAGAAATAACCTCCGGAGACTTTAGAGTAATAATAAAAAAAGATAACAACCCAGTCCTAATCATTGAAAATATGTATGAAATACTCTGCAAAACACATGCAGAAGTTGACCTACATGGTGGACAGAAGCAATTATGGAAGTCAATTAGGAGAATGTGGGGGTGGATTCAACAAGACATTATTGAAAAGTTTGTTAACAATTGCACAATATATGCAGTATGCAAACCATCATTTCATCTATTAGCTGCAAAACCTATAATCACCCATAATTTTTTATCTCGACTTCAGGTAAATTAATTATATTTCAAATATTTTAATATCTTAAAAAAAAAAAATTTAACAGTAATATTAATTATTTTTAAGATGGATTTAATTGATCTATCATTTGATGCTGATGGCGAATATAAATATATTTGTCATGTTAGAGATTATTTCAGTCATTTCTCTTGGACAAAACCACTTACATCAAAACAGGCTATTGAAGTTGCAGCTTACTTATTCGATTTATTCCATTCATTGGGTTCATCTCCAATGATACTTCAGTCAGATAATGGTAAAGAGTTCTGTGTCTTAGTAATTAAAGAACTCATACAAATGTGGCCATCTATAAAAATTATAAATGGATGACTACATCATCCACAATCCCAAGGTTTAGTAGAACATGCAAATGGAATTCTTCAGCAAAAGCTAGATAAATGGAAAGAGGAAACAAAATGAAATGATTGGTCATTTGGGCTTCATTTTGTTATATCCTCAATGAACAATAGCTATTGCTGATCACATAAAAAAACACCATATGAATTGGTATATAGTAATAAACCTAGGAGAAATTGTATGTTAGTTGATGAACTATTTTTTAAAGACATTCAGGATGAAGAAAACATTTCTGATACAATTGAAATTCAGAATATCGATTGTGTAGAAAATTTAAATGATCTTGAAGATATAGCAGAAAGTTTATATAATAATAATGAAAATAAGTTATTAAATATTTATTTATTTTTTTTTATAAATTTAATTAACATATGCATTATGTGAAAAAGGCATTGAAAACATTCAACTTGCAGATATCACAAATGATATTTCCAGTAAACATCAAATATTATGAGAATCTGCATATCAAAATCTTGAAGATTATACTAAAAAGATGGTACATCAAATGTCAAAAGGAAAAAATGACCAACATCATATGAAATTGGAGACTTTGTTAGAATTTCTATTCCTAAAATTGATAGGTTTGGAATTGATCATCCAACTCTTTCATGCAAAATTATAAGAAAAACAGAGAATGATAAATACCAGTTAGGTTCAAAATTCGGTGTAATTGATGTTCATTATTGTGTTGGTGAGCTTGAATCTTTGAATGCTACTGAATTTCCTAAACTCAATATTATATCATTTGAAAAAATATCAGTTAGAGAGGCATCATGACTTCAAAGTGTAGGGACAACATCAAGTTCAATTTGTAATTGCAAAGGTGAATGTAATAGTAATAGATGTTATTGCAAAAAAAATAATAGTATGTGTACTAGTAGGTGTCACAGAGAATGTTTATGTAAAAATAACTTTTAAATTTCTTAGTTGTAAATTAGAAAAATTAAATGCAATATGTAGTGTGCAAATAAATTAAATACAATAGTGTGCAAATAAATTAGATGCAATTAAATATGATTGAAAATGCAACAGTCAAAAAAATATGCTTTTTATTTTTTTTATTTGTTTATTTTATAAATGCATTAGTTAACAGTTGAGATGACTCAAGTGTCAATTGATTATCTGAGGCACCTCACCTAATGACTGACATCTGAGGTGCCTCAACTGTTAACTGACACATGCATTAATTTGAGACACAACATATATATATATTAGATTTAAATTACAGATAACTTGTCTAAGTTTCTAATCTTAATATCTTATAAATATAAATTCAAATATAAATTTTTTTGTATATTCTACTTGTAAAAAGGTTAACTGAATTTTAATAAAGATAAAAACATGGTTTTACTTTTAATATTAAAAAATATATATATATACACATTTATTTATTTTTTTAAATATTAAAGTGAATACTTGTAATTTAGGATTTTATTAATAGTATATTAGCAGAATATGGCAATCTAGTAAAATAAATAGATTGTTAACTCTCAAGTGACAGGTCTAAAGTTCAATTTCTATGAATAGTAAATTTTGGAAATTATATTTGTGTTATAATAACTGTTTTTTGCTGATCAATTGGGTTTTAGATATTTGTAATCTTAGATACATCAAGTCAGATTTTATCTAACATTAGAAGCTTAGAGCATTTATGTGAAATATAATATTATACATACATAAAAAAATATGAAAAACTAATATCATATAAGACTTTGATGCAAACTCATAATAAGATTATTAGGTATAAAAAACTAAGAAAATAGAAACTCATTTGGAAATCCTAAGTAAAGAGATAGCATAAACTTTTGATAATATTATTGGACTAATGAAAGTTTATAAAACATCTTCATAGGAACTGTTAGATAAACCAGATAACAAGATATATAGAGAAACATATAACTAATCAGGTTGTTAAAATAATTAGAAAAAAAGTATATATAAGTATATCATACTAGGTCATCTAGATTAAAAGTCTGAGAAGTCTGTTATTGGTTCTAAGTTGTGACTAGTAGGGGATAATAAAAAAGAAATCAAAAAGATAGATATCAGGGTTTGAATAAATTTTATAAGAGTAATAGTAGTTTAATAAGTAATTCTGATTACTAATATTAGTCTTAACCATAGCATCAAACTGATTAATAGTAAAAGAGAATATAACTCATTTTAGTAAATTTGTCTTAAAAATAAAAATAGTTTAAAGATTATAGTTCTATAATTAAAAATGAATAGATCTAAGTTGTGATCTGATGAAATTAAGGTCAGATCAGAAGGTTTAAATAGAACATTTAAACAAAAGTATTAGGTACAGCAACTAATAGAGAACCCTCAGATGAACTTCTTAAATAGGTAATATAGAAAAGTTACATATATAGCCAGTTGTATACTCATCTAATAGTTCAATATAAATACATTTATATAAAACATGTACTTAATATAAGTATTAATAAAAAGCTAAGATTAAAGAAGTCACCTTAATACTAAAAAAAAAAATTAATTGTATATTAGCTAATAGTTATATTACAATTACAAAAAACAATTATAAAAAGAGTATACAACTAGTCACTTATACAATTTTAATTATTGTCTAATTTAAATTGTTTTTTTTTTTAGTTAAAGTCTCTATCTTGGGAG